ATTACAAGGGTACATGATTTCCACAACAAAGAGACAGCAGAGAAAGGCAGTGAAGATCTCCTGAATGGGGAATTCTTCTGTAGATGTGATAGGGAAAGTTGAACAGTTCAGTAACAGTGAGCTTAAACAGCTTTCTAACCGCTTTCATGGCCACCACACCATCCTCATCCACCTTCAAAGATGATCTGAGATCATATTTCAAACTAAAATCTGATGCACCTGTGGGCCTCTGTTCTTTAGCACAACCCAGAACATGCTGGGACTGAATATGAAAAAGGCATGTGCAGCAAAGCATGGATCAGCCCTCAAAGAACATCTAGGATGGTCTTCATTTGAAAATGAGACAACCATATCTGACGAAATACAGGAAGGGGAAAACTTTCCATGGGACAGCAAGAGCTGTTAAACCAAAACCAGACAGCCTGCTTGAGCAGAGCGCAGACACACACACACACACACACACATGCTCATGTCTCATCGTTAATGGAGGCCACTGTCCTGTGCGTGGCGGATGGAATGCAGGCTGATATGAATGATGACAGATTATTGATTGAAGATACACGGCTCAGATGATGAAAGTGGCCAGTGTTGAAAAGTACAGCTTTCTGATGGCAACGTCAGTGTCAAAACGCTGGAAAATAGGCCTTTGTTAACTCCCAGTGTGAAATGTGGCATGATCTAAAAGAGTTGGGCATGTGCTATGACGCAAGCTGGTAATTAATACACTGACCCTGATAGCACATGCCAACATGTAAAAGCGTCTGCTCACAGCCTGAGCTATTCAACAACTCATCCTACTGTTAAAAACACTTCTTACTTACCAACATGAAGACTAATAGAGTCAGGGTTTAGTTAAGAGTTAGTTTCATATTAATTATGTATAATTTACCGTTATTACTATGGTAACTACATATGTAACAAGGACACTGTAAAACAAAGTGTTACCAATAATTATACATTTTAAAGATCTGGCTTATTACTTAATTAATATCTACAAAAATATTAGCTGCTGGGTAAAATATGTCACATGTTTTGGGGTAAGCTGTGTGTAGTAATTTGATCTGTCAAATGAATTCTCTTCTTATTTCATGAGGCTGAGAAAAAAAAAACATTTAAGTAAACATTTTAAACCTATTTAAGTAATCACAATCACACATATCTCAACTGGTCAGCCATAATTACTGAATTACTCAGAATTGTTATTGAGTGTCAGTCAGAAACAGCTGTTGATGTAAATGTGATTGTGATAACACCCTCTTACTGACAAACTCTGCGCATGAGACGGGACACGTCTTTATCCTTTTAATCACACATGCCCTCATCTGCGAGCACGTCTCAGCGGACAGGAGGATGCTTAGTCTGTTTACATGCTCCACAAAAGAGAGGTGGAGAGGATCTGCTTTCCGATAGACCATCACTCTCTGAAGATACGGATCAACAATTGTTGATGAAACAAAGATGCATATCTCATAAGGCATACATTTTGTTGGCTCAAACTATGTTTATCTTTTAGTTTCTTTAGGGGCAGAAGCTACACTTTTCAGAAGTCTAATAATCTAGGTTACTTCCACCAAAAATGCTGTAATAATTTAATTTGTATATGATCACTTTCCCCTGCTGAGATTAGCTAATCTCTTTGTATGCGAAATGAAACAAAGTCCCACCAAGTTTCTGAATACTGAATTGAAGAATCTAATTTTCCAGGATAAATCTTCTTTAAGAGAATGCAAACTGAAAATGTCATCATATTTGCTTTGTTGTGTATCAGGAGTTACACGTATATTGCTTGCGCTTTACTTTGGGAGTCAAATATGTAAATGAAAGATAATTCATCAAATGAGCTTCCCCTTGAGTACTGAGATTCGATATTGCAATGATAACGATATTGCAGGGTCAAGTCAAATCGCATTTATTTATATAGTAATTTATACAATAGAGGTTGTATAAAAAAGCTTTTCAGTAATACACAGGAAAATAACAGTGTTAATGTTGCGAAGTTAATCAATTATGAAGCAAATTTGATTCAGCTACTGCTCTACAGAAGACAAAAACGAGCTTAATTTAGATCGATGTTGATTAAATTCAGGGTTTAAGTGTCTTGGTAAAGGACATAATGGTGAGACACATGGTTAATTTCATGGTTGACCAGCTCTAAGCTTTAAACACCCCGCTATTTTAATGCTTAAGTTCAACGTTTCGTTGACCTTAAATATAAGTTCCAAAAGGTTGTTTTTGGTTCCCAAAATAAACTTTCAAGAAACAACAACAATGGACAATTTTGTGCAATGGAATGGTTCCTTGGATTTTAAAGGTTCTTCATGGACCCATAGATGTCAATAAAAACCTTTATTTTTAAGAGTGTAGTTTGATTTTTTGGAAAAAATGGAAGTTGGACAAATGGATGCACTCAGTATCACTTAGACTGGCTGATGTTCACGTCTCTCAGGTACAGTCTGTGCTATGACATCAATGCATTTGAAGTCATCAATCTCCATTGAGCCCTGAATGTGATTAATATGTATCTTGTCATCAATATTCAATGTGTTGCTTCCTCTATTGAGGACTGACATTGGCACCACCGTTGTGCGCTTCAAAACTTGGCGATCAAGCCACCAATGAACGTTAGGAATAATAAGCAGAAGAACGGCTGTGCCAACTTTTGACACGCTCCCACGCAAGAAGCCACAGGTAAACTGACAAGCACCCGTTGGTGCTCCGATCTCGCCTGTCCAGAAGATATGAAATGCGGATGGTGTGACTCCACTTAAGAGCTTTTTTGAGAAATCAGGATAGCACCAGAGTGTGCCGCACAAAAGAATGATGAAAGAACGAAAGATAAACAAAGGCTTTCAAAGGCTGGAGTATTGAGACATCAAACGCAAAGTAGAAACAACACACAGCATCTCACCTCAGCTGACATATTGACAACAGCAGCCTATGAGGAGAGAAGAGGTAAGACAAGAGGAGGGGGGGTTATGGGTGGAGAGGTTGGCGAGGTCAGCCTAAACCAACAGAATGGGAGAACCTAATTTCCAATGACAGAAGGGTCTTTCATCTGGGGCCCTGCCTGGAAATGTGCTGTGTTTAATTATTAAAGAAGGGTCTTACTCTGTGGGGTCGGAATGCATTTGAAGTCTCTTAAATTCAGCCCTGCTGACAGACCGCGGCCGGCCGTCTCAGTGTGTGCCCTTACCTGTATGACAGCCGCTGAATGCTAATTTGTAACAAGCAAAACTCATTAGGCCTGTGCCACGGAGGGATGCGCATCCTGGCTCATCTCAGAGCGCCGCAGCGCTTCGGTCCCTCTAGTGGGGTGGCTTCAATCAAAGGCTCTAAGGCATGCTTTGTTTCAGGCACACACTGAATGCACACACACACACAAGACAAAGTTTGTAAGATGAGAGAAGAGGAGAAAAGACAAAAACAAAGAATGGTACTCTACACAATGCACACAAATGCTTGTCCAACGAATGTTGGACGTTACAAGTGTGTGTTCCTATGGTGCTGACAGCAACAAACCTCAGTACTCAAGGGGGCGATAAGAGTTTTCTTCAAATGTATATGCCATCAAACCAGATGTGTTGCTGTCCAAGGGTGCGTTTCCCAAAAACAACTATGGCCCCAAGTCCTGTCGTTACCAATAGAGTTCAATGGAACTAACGACCATAGTTAGCTAACAATGCTTTTGGGAAACGCACCCCAGGTCTGCAGCTGTAAACAAGTCTTACTGTTCAAACTGTTGCTTCACAGGCATGGTTATACGGAGATGCTATAGCACCATCAAACAAAAGCAACAGCACCCTCAATTGACCCTTCGCAAAGAGCTTGATTCACAGGTAATCTGACCAATCATAATGCCGAATCCACCATTTTGTCCGACAAACAAATAAGACAGGAGAGTAGATTAACTTTGGTGGACTTAAACTTGAAAATTGTGTGTATTGATGTCTTCCCGTGGTTTAAATCAAATATGTTCTGATGTTCATTCATGTTTATTTCGTGTAAATATGAAAAACCGGTCGGTTCATGTGCTGCTTGAACTGAGGCAATACAGCCATCTGTCACGACACATTAAATTAAACAAAATGGTATTTATTGCTTGAATTTCTTAAAAAAATGACAAAATTTGAAAGCTCAGACCTCGTTTCATACCAGAAGTAACCTGCTCTGTCTTGTCTGTCGGCATGTTGTCAGTTTCCTCTTTGCTCTGCGATGTATTTTTTACGGTGTGAGAACATGATGTGTAGTGCATGGCTTGTCGAACTTAGCAAGAGTAACTAAGGAGGGCGGGTTTTTGCGAATGTTGAGCATTGCAGCCAATCACACACGTCTGTTGATCTCTTGTATGCTATGGCCAGTCAGAGTTGTTCAAGTCAGTCAGAATCCACTTACCACTCAAAATGCTTGAGCTTTTGTTTAGTGCTGTGTTTGGTCATGAATCCGGTCGTTATAAAGAACAAAAGAGTAGATGCGAAGTAAATAAGTCATTGTGCAGTGTAGTCAGCTTCATTGATTATAACGGATGTTTTCATTAGAGTACAGCAGAACTCTGCAAGATCATTATGAACTGAAGTGACCGTTTTTTTTTTTAGAAATGACAAATGATTTGATTCTGGAACTGGGCCTGTTGTTCTGCCATGACAGCAGATGACTTGATAGAGAAAGTCATTGAAGAAAGACTCACTACGATGATGCACCCTTGTTTCATCATCACTCAGAATGTCACTAGTGCATATGTATAACATTTAAATTTCGCTCTAATAGATTTCGGAATGCAACAACATGTGAAATTGAGCCCATGTATATAGAAGCTACATAAGAGTGCAAAGCATTGAATATTTCCATTGAACAGTGTTGAAGAATGAGTGAATGCACTCACTGTGGCCTGCATCTGGCTGCTGTACTCGGCCTCCATCCTGGCGAGCCGTTGATTGGTGTCCTCCAGCAGCTCCTGGATGTTGTCTGTGTGCTTCTTCTGCATGTCAAACTTTTCTTGTTCCATCTCCGCCACAGCAGCATGCAACTGATAGAGACGATAAACGAACCATACAACATAGATCAATAAAATATAAAAAAACTCTTCAAGACTCTGAAATTGTAACATTTATAATTAGTGCTGTCAAACGATTAATCGCGATTAATCGCATTCAAAATAAAAGTTTTTATTTACATAATACAGGTGCACCTCAATCAATTAGAATGTCGTGGAAAAGTTCATTTATTTCAGTAATTCAACTCAAATTGTGAAACTCGTGTATTAAATAAATTCAATGCACACAGACTGAAGTAGTTTAAGTCTTTGGTTCTTTTAATTGTGATGATTTTGGCTCACATTTAACAAAAACCCACCAATTCACTATCTCAACAAATTAGAATACTTCATAAGACCAATAAAAAAAAAAACATTTTTAGTGAATTGTTGGAAAGCATTCCTTCTGGAAAGTATGTTCATTTACTGTACATGTACTCAATAACTTGGTAGTGTCGAGTGAATATCCCTTTCTCACAGACATCACTGGAAAGTTTGTAGTTCGGTCGAATATGTCAAAAAGAAGTAAGTAAAACAATGCACAAGTTACTTAATGGTTGGTAAGGAGGGAGGGAGAGAGAGAAAAAGAATGCGCGCACTTCTGTGGTGTGATCTTTATTGATGTTCGCTCACTTCACGCATCATTTGGATTAAAACTAAATCGTAAATATAAGACAATTTTTTATAATATCAGGGCTCAACTATAAGTTTGATTTTTGTTTCTGCCCTCACAGCTGGCTAGTAGTTTAGTTTTACTTGCTATTAAAGAATAATTAATTTTAGCAATATGTTTTCATTTGACAGAAAAAAAAAAAATATATATATATATATATATATTTTTTTTTAAAGATGTAATGCTTTTAAATATTTTTTTTTTGAAGACCTGAACAAACAAAATTAATGCTGTATATCCATACCAGAACAAACACACACAAAATACAGGATGTATCAGACTCTTTCACTCCTTTCCAATTTTTCCTATAAAATGCTTTCACTGGAAGAAGATTACTTAAGTTTGCAAGACATAAAAACAGATGATCTATGATCCCACACTACCATCTGGCCATCCTTATTGTTGAGCCCTGAACATGAGTCCTACAGAATATTATGTTTAGAAACAGAGAACAAAGAGAATGTTTTATAAGGCCTGAAGCAAGATACCCTTCAACCAAAAGCCTGTAGAAAGGCAGGGCCGGATTCTCTGGGAAAACCTTGAGCTTTTCTTTTCTATCTCTGCAATAAACATACACATCTACTGAACACTCAGAGAAGATGGATTTTTGGGATTCTTTCTCATACTCAGACGGGATTGGCTGAGCTCTAAACTCAGTGAGTGTTCAGTGTTCAAAGCTCCGGCTGCTGGAGGGACGGGCCTGTGGAAACCTGAGCCTTTTCAACCCTTCCTTACCTTCTTCTCCCATTCGTTTTTCAGAGACTCGGCACTTTGATCAGACATTTTCTTCAGCTCGCTGATCTGTTTCTCTTTGGTCTGTCGGATGACCTGGGACTCTCGCAGCAGGCTTTGAACTACAGGGGAGAGAGGGAGGCAGACACAAACATTCAGACCTGGCCGCAGGGCATCTCTCTGTCTGCTCGCACTCCAGGCTGCCCCAGACGGCACCATACTTCTTGACTCAAAAAATAACTAAATAAATAAAACAATAATACACAACAATGGGTACGAAAACAAGAAATTATACAATATCTTAAGGTGAAGTGCATTACAGCAGAAAGCCAGTAAAGGCTATGTTGAAAAGTTTAGAAGTTTTAAATACATATAAATAAAATAAAAAATAATAATAAATACTTTTTTATTATAAAAAATAATTTTTTTTTTTAAAGATGCACAAAGCTATGCCTGACACATTCCACATTCACTTTATTTTTCATTAACGTCATCATCAATAAAGATTAATTTGACTGAAGAGTTCTCTCAATAAATAATTAGCATTTTGTCAGTTAAAATTACATTCCATGTAAATGAAAAGCGTGTTTTATGATTTTGGGGGCTTATTTAAACTAGGTCAAAGGCCAAAAAAAATGAAGACTAACACCCTCTTGAGTAACCGGGATCTAACAAGTACCTGCCACTGACTTTTGAGAAATACGTAGAAAGGCCATAACAAGACATCAAATCACAGATGCTGCTTTTACTGAGTCGTAAGAAAAAGAGTTTGTGAGTGTGGTCCATGCTTTACTACACGTCTGTTTACAAGGTGCAGCTTTTGTTGGCTCCTCAAAGCCAAGTCTTTAGAGCCGTTTTGGGGTTGAAGGAGAGGTTTCCAGCTGGGGTGCACTGAGCAACACCTTACCACTGACAGAGTGCTCAGAGCGAGTGTATAAACACGACCCACTGCATGTTCTACCCTCACCTCTCTTCTCCAGCCTCCGAATAGTCTCCTCCCCCTCCTTCTGCTTCCCACGATACATGCACTTCAGCTCGTCAATCTCGCCATTCTTGCGGTCCAAAATCTGAGGAAATAAACACAAACCATGTTTTGTACATTTCCTGAAGAAAATGTGACTGGCATTGAGTGTGGATGGAGCAGTTGTTAAGTCAAGTCACCTTTATGTATATAGTGCTTTATACAATACAGTTTGTGTCAAAGCAGCTTAACAGTGTCAAGCAGGAAAATAGTTGGTCAATAATGTAAGAGGACAATAACAAAGAGTCATTTTCCAGTTAAAGTCAATTCATTGATGATTCAGTGATGTCATCATCCAGTTCAGCTCTCCTCCAATAGTGTCTGTGCAATCAGTCATGCGTCCCCAACTAAGCAAGCCAAATTAGACTGTTAGACTGCTATAGTATGTGGTTACTAGTGTACTCTAGGTCAGTGTTTCCCAACCGGGGTGCCGTCTGTCGAGAGCAGGGGTGCCGTGTAAAAAATCATTTTTTTATATTTTTAAATTGCTAAAATGTTCAAAAAAAGCATATATTATATAATATCCATTTCTGATGTCGCCAATAATTAGAGATGCACCGAAATTTCGGCTGCCGAAATTAGTTCACCGCTCAGGTTTCACTTTCACGTGGTGTGACGCTCTGCGTATTATCCCGCTCTATGCGTGTGTGTGCTCCGCTCAGTCGCTCCACTCGTATACCGTTCATGCTCATCAGAACAGCAAAGTCCACTCAAAAATTGAGCCGACAGGAAACATCGATGTAGTACAGTATTGTTTCTGTCTACAATAGCCCTACTGTGTTGTAACATAGTGTGGTATGCAACTCTGGTAACGCTGCCCTCTCATTCAATGATCTGCTAACCGCTATGTTATGCTCACGTGTTCTGATAATAATAGCTTTCTAGGACAAAACATTATTTGGATAATTGGTAAAAAAAAAAAAAAAGTTAAATATCTTAACCCTACCCTTAGACCTACATGAAAAACTAAAAAGCTATTTATTTAATTCGAAGGCCTGTCGTTATTTTTTATTTGTGCTATCATTATTAATTTCTTTATTTGTTCTTATTCTATTACTGACTGCTTACTTGTCATTTTTTATTCAATTCAAAGTTTGAAATCAAGCTATCTCGTGCTACTGCACCAAAATTACCCCACTGTAAAATAAAAAAAACACTGAGTGAGCAAAAATTTGTGAGATAGCTAGTTATAATGGTAATTAAATAATGTTTACATATGTACATAAGCCTACATTAAAATCTGTCATATAAATTGGTCTCTTCATTAGAAATTAGCCTACTGATTGCCACCACTGATGGACAAAATTTTTAATTAATATTAAAAATATCTGTATGACATTATATTCTGCAGTTCTTCCCTGTTGTACAGAATATCTATACTTTTCAAATTATCATATCGAAGTTAGAAATTCAAATATTGTGACAAAATAAATTTTGTAGGGTGCCACAAGTTTGTTAAAATTTCCAAAGGGTGCCGCGACTAAAAAAAAGGTTGGGAAACACTGCTTTACTCAAAAATTGAGCCGACAGGAAACATCGATGTAGTACAGTATTGTTTCTGTCTGCAATAGCCCTACTGTGTTGTAACATGGTGTGGTATATGGGCAACTCTGGTAACGCTGCCCTCTCATTCATTGATCTGCTAACCGCTATGTTATGCTCGCGTGTTCTGATAATAATAGCTTTCTAGGACTAAACATTATTTGGATAATTGGTAAAAAAAAAAATAATAATAATTTTAATATCTTAACCCTACTGTTAGACCTACTTGAAAAACTAAAAAGCAATTTATTTAATTCGAAGGCCTGTCGTTATTTTTTATTTGTGCTATCATTATTAATTTCTTTATTTGTTCTTGTTTTATTACTGACTGCTTACTTGTCATTTTTTATTCAATTCAAAGTTTGAAATCAAGCTATCTTGTGCTACTGCACCAAAATTACCCCACTGTAAAATTAAAAAAACACTGAGTGAGCAAAAATTTGTGAGATAGCTAGTTATAATGGTAATTAAATAATGTTTACATATGTATAAAAGCCTACATTAAAATCTGTCATATAAATTGGTCTCTTCATTAGAAATTAGCCTACTGATTGCCACCATTGATGGACAATTTTTTTTTTAATAATATTAAAAATATCTGTATGACATTATATTCTGCAGTTCTTCCCTGTTGTACCAAATAGCTATACTTTTCAAATGATCATATCGAAGTTAGATATTCAAATATTGTGACAAAATTTATTTTGTAGGGTGCCACAAGTTTGTTAAAATTTCCAAAGGGTGCCGCGACTAAAAAAAGGTTGGGAAACACTGCTCTAGGTGATATCTAGATATGGCTCAGTTCCCTTCTTCAATATAATTCTGTAGGATTTTTGCCTGTTTTATCATCTACCAGATGTAAATTTAGCAATTAAACAAACACAACAGGTATCATGTCACAAATGCATGACGAGTTCCCAAGTTTAAAGCTTAGGGCTTGTTGAGGCTGTGACACACCAGACCATCGTCGATCATCTGTAAGCACAGCGTTCTGGTGTTTCTGCACTAGTTGGACCACACTGTACATATACAGTTAGTATTGTACACCCACAGTCCCAGTTTCCCTTTTTGAATGATGAATACAGACTACTGTCACCTGCTGGTTATTTCCCCTCATGCAGGCACAAAACGTATGTGTCAGTTGGCCGTTGGCTGCAGTCTTTACGCTGTTTTCTAGCGCAACTTTTTGGCCCAGATGCCAGGCAACATGAGGCGTCAACACCGCTGGCTTTCGTCATCGCTAGTTCTTTGATGTCGGTTTGGTGTGTCACGGCTTTTAGACGTTTGTTCAGATCACTAACCCTAAGCGTGAGCAATGGTAATAGTGATGCTTGCATTAGCAAACAACTCTACAAACAAGAAGCATTCATGACACTGAGACGACGGATGACAGAACGTTTATGTTCCAGACTTTCCAGCTAATCTAGAGCCATAAATAAATTTCAGTGGGAACAGAGTTTAAATAGAGGTTTGTGGTGCTTCCATATGACAAGCTAATGCTGGCTGCAGATTACAGAGGATAATGTTCTTATTCACAAGCATGACCATGAAGGAACTCGCCCTCTCCTGCGTCACTGAATGCTGGAATTTGCTGCTTTGAAGCCGACGTTTAGCGGATGGGTGTTTGGGGGTGGTGGGCAAGATCCCCATTTTTGGCCCATGTGTTAGGCTTTTTGCTTAAGTATATTATCTGTAACAGTAGCGTAAGCTTAAAGCAGAGGATGATAAACCAGTATGAATCTCACATTATGCTCTGGGAAGCAAGACCATTCTTTACATGTATTTGTTTACTGACTGTTGCATGCAATCGTCAATTACAGCATTTTTTAAAATTTTAAAGATTTCGGGTTCGGGTCAGGTTCGGGCTCTAAATTTAACTGTGCCGCTCGGGTCGGGTCAGACGATCTCGGGTACGGGCCGGGTTTGGGCTTCACTTTAAAGCCCGTGCAGACCTCTAGCACTGGTTCATTCAGCATAAGAAATACTACATTTTATGAATGTGTAAAAATGACTTATGACTATATGCAATTAAATAAGGATGTTACTGGAAGTGGCAAGTGGCCCCTACCACCCCACAACAGCGCACATAATGTAGGCTATGTCTCCCTTATCAAACACACCCAATTCATCAGCTCATTGGCAGGCACTACAATACCTTAAAGGTAATAAAGATATACTTCCAAGCAAAATCAAAGAACAAACTGAAGTTACATTATAACATACAAAAACAACCCAAAACAAAGTTTGTTTTGGGAGGTCGAAAATTTTGTCATTGGGATGTTTGCTAATGAATGTACTTTTACCCCAGGCAAAGAACGAAAAATAACTTTGAGTGAGTATACTGATCCCTTAACAGGGTGTATCAAACAAATGAGGCATTCAAAAAATGCAGTGTTGGGGAAGGTTTGGGAACCACTTCTGTTGCTTAATCACTGTTCACAGAGTCTCTTTGTAAAATTTTAATAATTTACAAGACTGTTTCTGTTGTGAATGATTCTGAACGAATCTACTAAGTGAATAATTCAATGACTCACTCATAATACACAAAAAACAAACTAATTTGTCACAATCTACTGGTTAAATTATGTAATCGACAGTATCTGAATGAATCTTTTGTAGGCCTGGGCGATAAAACGGTGTCGATATTTAACGACGATATACCTTCTTCGATATCGATAGAAAAATGTTTCGATATAGCGCACGATATAGGCACGTAGTATGAGTGACGCAGACAGCACACATAAACACAAACACATGCTGAAATGAGTGCTGTGCCTGCCTGTGATGAGGAGACTGTGAATAAAGAATGAATATTAGTCGAATTTAAAATAAACATTTGCATTTGAATGTTAGGTGTGCATCAGGTCCATCAGTGGCGTTCGAGATGCGGTGATGATGTACATTACGTTGTTGCATTTTAATGTTTTGTTAGTCTAACCCACGAGCTGCTGCGTTATTCATTCAAAATATTAGAGAAATATAGAAGCTCAATGCGGAGAAGATCTTGAATGGGTTAAAACCGAAACCAAGCCATTCACACAGAACGCATATTCAGCGCATTTTTTAGACGGACAAATATGACTGCTGCACTCGTGTCTCACACAAGAGATGTATAGAAAGCCATGCAAAGTTAAAACAGTTTAAACTTTTAGAAAACACGTCACGAATTTGTGGAGGTTTATTCCTTTTCACTGCGTCTCATATGTTTTGAAATGCAGTCTGTGTGAATTGCGCTTCAGCTCTTTGGATTAAGCAATGCATAAATACAAGATTCTGTTTTGTTCATAATTGTTTATGCAATTTACGAAATTATATTAGATTTTTATGAGTTAATTTAGACGTAATGCACGTTTTTATAGAGTTACTTCCTTGCGTTGACTATTTAAATGCGCTGCATTATTTTGCTCATTGC